ACGTAGAAGCTGGCTGCTATATACTACAAAGAAAGACACCGTATGAAATAACAGTCTCCATCTGGATAATTGTGTCGTGTCTCATGTCATCATATCATCTCATATCGCATTCAATTCCGTTTTTGTCCATTACTGCTGCGAAAACATTCCAAAGAACCAAAGAAAACTCCCGAAAATAAAGTTTATCGCACCAGCCTATCCATTGCCGGCAGTATTCATATGTGTTAAGTATTCCCACTCTGTTTGTATTGAACCTACCTCCAACACATCCCTTCCACTATTAAATCTCATTATAAAAATTCATCTGTTGCATCATTCTTTTAGTTCGGGTGCTTCAACGATCACAATTCACAATCGCGGATCGCTGGCGGTTCAGCAATAAAAGGGGGTTGTTAGCCGAAACTAAGCTCTGCACGACAATTTTTAGTACAAGCATACTAGATTAGTATGGATCAAGATGTAATTGCATGGACATACCGGCATAAATGGGAGCTTGCCAAGCCTTAGCTTTAGGTCTTGCCTTTCCCTCTCCAGCGCCTTTACCTTTTCCCTCGCTACTTTTTGCACTACTAGTTTTCGTATTGATACTAACGCGATCTCCTTCTCTTCCTCCCATTGACGACAGAGGAACTCCATTATTCACTACCGTCGCTACTCTTTCCACGCCATATATTACACCTCCATTTCCAAGCGGTATATTTGCCATCGTATCACCCGCCACCGAAGCGCACGCTTCTGCCGCGGCTCTCTGGCTTGCCAGGCGCAATTGATCGAATCCAAAGTTCCACTGATCTTCTGTAATTCGAGTTTCGCAGTGTATTTCTCCTTTTTCTGTATTGGTTCCTCCAGAACTATCTCTCAGGCCACAGTTTTCAGTCAAAATGGCGTATATTCTCTCTTGGACTTCCGTCGCTGATGGTCTTTCATCTGGCTCGGGCGAGAGCATTCTTTGAGAGATCGCAATCAACTGAGAAACGCCTCTGAAGATTTTGTCCTCTTTTTTTGTGGCGTCTTTCAGAAGCGTATTCATCCAGCTGTCGACTTGTGCCAAGTTTTTATGGAAGCTGGAATCTGGCATTCCTCCACCACGACCCGGAGTTTTGTTTTTAGATGATCGATGAGAGGCAAAATTCCTTGTGGCTCGCTTCATAAGAAATGTTATAATTTCAATGAAAATGGCCCCTAAAGCAAATATATCGGCTTTCTGGGGATCATGTCTGCCAGCTCTGCTCTGTATCCTGATTTGCGACGGACCTGAGCCTTCTGATTGTGAGCTGGTTGAAGTGGTATAGATTGACGAAGAATCATTTCCCAGGGACGTTGAAGCGGGTTGAGACATAGACTCACTCGGGATGCGAGCTGACCGACTAGAAGCCGGCGGTCGCGACGACACTAGCCGGGTATTGGGGAGGCTGGATGTAGAAGCTGCTGTATAATGATGCTGTTCTGGGGCAGAGTAATCGTAGGTCTCTTTATCAAATCCTCCTTTCTCCCCAGTTGAGAGCTGTGTAGGAAAAACACCAGAATCACCTAGAAATATATGATTGTCAAGGTCGAGCATCACATTTGAGGGCTTTATGTTACGATGCGAAAGGCCAGTCTTATGAAGAAAGGACAGGGCACAGGCTAGGCAGTGAAGCCAGTTTAGAATGAGGATACGGCGATCTTGCTTTGCTAAAATCTTAAAAGATTGAGGTATTATTGTGAGAAAGGATTTGAGCGAGTTGGCGTTGGCCGGAGTCAAGAGTAGGTAGCCTTTATCCTGGTGTATATAAGACGCCCACAAGGAAGTAAAATGTGTATGTTCAACACCTTTCATTGCCTGGATGCCCGAAAGAAATTCCTCATGTAGCATTCGGTCTGGCGAAGTGCCTAAGAGTACTCGTCGGCGTAGGAAGACAGCGTCTGGCCTCCCAGGTAAATGAACTTTGTCAACACTGTTCGGTAGAAGACTGGTTACTGATCTAGCGGGTCTGTTCTCTACTAGCTCTAGCGGTACCACTTCTACATCATCGTAGTAAATATGTTCGCCTTTAGCAATATATCTAAGCAGGTAGTTGAATTGGCGCTGGAAAAACTTCTTTTCCAATTTTTCGTTCCTATCGTAGGTCAATTGCAGCCTCCCAACTTGGTCCATGGGTATTGGTAAATCATCATCGCCCCAAGAATCGTCGATGACTCCAAATATTTGATCGGGCACACCCAATTCCACCAAGATCAAAAATATTTTCTTGGCCTTCTCTTCAATCCATTCTATATACGTGTCATCGGTCAAGCCGTCGCCAAAGCCTAATGGCTCGTCTAGACGCTCTTGCTCGTCTGGACGTAATTTTGATGACACAAATTGTCGTGTAACAGTGGTTTGGATTCTTTCCTCATCCCACCACATTGTAGGCATATCGTCTAAGATTCCATTCGAGGTCCGGGGGACACCAGCACCGGCGAAGCTAGCATATATCTGAGGGTTTGTACTAGCTTGTTGCTTTCGATTCATAACCATGGAGCTTCTTCTGTACTCCATGGCTGGAGTTTTCAGAAATTTTCACAAGCTGTTATAGATCGAGTACGAAAGTAGGGTTGTTGCGATTGGCAGATAACAAGCAAGTGATAACAAGCTGGATGTAATCTATTGGCAACAGTGCGAAAGCGGGAACGAGGATCAGATGGTGAGGGGCGAAAACATGAGGGAATCCCAGCTAAAAGGCATATATTCCACTTTTGATTGATCGCGTGGGTGAGACAGAAAGTCCTGGAGAAGATTTAGTGGGTTTCAGTGCATTGGATGCAATCCTGAATTGCATGAACTGCTTGATAGTGCAAGGGATTGAATTTATCGAAACGAGTAAGCAATAGGTTTATCGCTATCCTTGCAATCTTGACCGGGTGCTAAGGCATAGCGTGGTGACGAGGCTCCTTATCAAAGTTTCTTTGACAGCAAGTATTGAGTGAGACAAGCCTTATTTGTGTATAGTATTACCAAGGTGGTCCAAGGTCTTGGTATGTATCTGCACTGTGCAGTATCGCTGTGGTTGAATTGTTTTTGGTTACTCAAGTCGTAAATAGACCCGGATTTGTAGATTGTCTAGACGGAAACAATCTTGTATATAGCGATACAATAGATGAGCGTTGCGATGCATGAATCATCTAAACGGTAAGAACGATTTCCAGATATCTGCGTTGATATGACAGATCATGTTTCTGTATGACTTGAAAATGAGCTGTACCATCTCTCTGGCGGGGTTAAAGAAATACAAGACTCAAAAAGATCGCTGATGAGAAGAACTCGTTATTGAGATCAATTTTGCCACGAGGCGTCTATGCGGTTATCTACAGGACAATATCAATGCCATGCTGCTGGAGGATGTCTCATTGCATGCGGAGTATATGATTGGCAGTATCCAAACAATCCTCCGTTCTATTTCGCAAAAAATGAGCCTTCGTGTACCATTTCCTCTTCAAACTATTGAAAGATCCTTCGAGAGAGTCTGGAAGTATCTCTGGTTCGGTGTGCTCTCGGGTAGGTGTCTCGTGTTTGATTCATCCAAACAACTTTGGAAGACTTCTGCTTCAAATTTGTGTAAATGGTCCCGAGGTCACGATAAGCTTTGACAGTACCTACAGAGCAAATGTACTTGGATACGTGGGGGTCACAGAACATGTGGGTGGTCGATCATGAATTTCGCAGGGGGCTCGCAGTAACGAGTCATCTTGCAAGGCTGAGTCGTGGATCCTTTTCTTCGAATTTGTTACTGCAATAGATAGAAGGATAGGCACATTCTGATTCCAAAGCGTAGAGTATGAAGCTCCTCCCTAAATTCCATTCTCTGTTGGCACAAAGACTGACCAAGATAGGCCAAAGCATCCATTTGTGGTACTGTTCCACGTACCGAACCGAGGCCCTATCTCCGGGTATTTATGTGCCACCCCACGAAGGATACGTTGATTGAGCTTCCTGATAGGTATGATATAATCAGTCGAGAAGAGACCGGTACCATCATGATAATCAAAGCCACATCAATTGAGGCCAGCTTCACGAAGCGGTCCATCATGTCGATACTGGGATATTGTCAGTCAGGTATTAAAAGATAAAGGTAGTTGATCCGAAAACATAGTCTCCACTCGGAACCAGACCGGGTTGCAGTCACACGGCAGTGAAAGAACGGTTGGATATGTACCACGGGAGGTTGATATAAAATATGTGATCAGCCGTAAACAAGTTGTAATTTAGAGAAGCTGAACCACAGCGAGGACCTGAGATTAATTTCCCGTAAGAGCCGAATGATATTCTGCAACCCCCGTTACGATATTGGTGTGCATCACACTCGCAATCTGGATGAGTGATCGAAGAAGGAAAAGCATTGAATGTCATTCGAATTTTGATATTCTATTCCTGCCTTATTTTCAATCCATTCACAGAGGATCATTGTATAATAGTTGAGAAGAATATCTGATGCAGAAAGTTTCTCTAATCCAATGCGTAGAAAAGTTGAATACAATTTTGCTACTCGTTTGGAAAAATAACACTGGGTTTCACTCCCTCTGGCCTAACACAGACGACACGTGACATGGCACACCAGGCCAGGCCTTCCCATTTCATGCAACTAATATATGTACCTGCTGTATTCAGCTCAAGTGCATGAGAGTCACTGCTCGATTCCTCAGTTTGGGCGATTCTTATATATTTTCCATCTATGGTTGATAATTCTATATTATGTATCAAAATATGTCCCGATCTAACGCCCTACCATTCTGGAGTCATTATCCTCCAGAATTATAAATGAGCCTTCAAGAACGCAAAACTACAGACCGTGGGTATCGATTTCCATCCAATATTATCGTGTCCAAATTTACCCATTCCATAACGCCAATGCTAAAATACCAATATTCGCTGGCTTTCCCAATGAATGTACCCGTACTCCGGCGTTTCCCTCCACCCATTACACTGTGGTCTCGTCGTCGTTCAACAGATATAGATCCTGCGATGCAACCAGAGCCTACTCTTATTGTACCAAGTCTCCTTGAAAGGTATCAAATGTTTGAATCTGAGCCTTCAAACCATCGTTAATAAGATCTAAGCAAAGTCGAGATGCTGTGCTTGTGTGAGCATGTATATTGAAGAATCATCATAGTTCAAGATTGTACTAACGTCTAGGAACATCCTCAGGAAGCCAACCGTTTTCCAAAGCCTCTACAGCAGCTTCCAATCTTGCAGATTGGTAGCAATGATACTCCTTCTGCAATGTCAACATCCTTTCCCAGCATTCTGCATCGGACTCTTTTGGACTGGCCAAAACCCGTGACCTCAAAATATCCGGAAGTCCACCGGAGGTTTGGGCGAGTGGTGAAGAGCTTTGACTGTCTTTTCCAGGAGTCGAAGGTGTGCTGCGGAGTTCTCTTTCGAAACTTCCTTCTCGTGAAGATTGTGTCGAGGACATGATTGGACAATATCGAAGCCACGTGATCGTGATATTGCGGATATTTAGGAGCGTTGGGATTATGTTGCGAGATACTGTATTGGTTTTCGGGAGAGCCAAAAGCATAATCCAATATTGGAATTGGAAAAAAAGTATTGCATCAAGCACAAAAAGCAAAACCAGACGGCTCAGCATGGCTGGCACTTACCTTTATATGCCTGAGAATTTTTGATTGAGTATCCACTCCCGAAAGTCCCGAGCTTTTTATGGCATATTGATGACCACTGCCTCAATCATTCTTTCATTTCATTGCATGAATGGCATGGCATAGCAAATGCCGGAGTATGATTTAGAGCTTAATTTTTCTGCTAACCAATGATCACCAGGCGCACCAGCCAGATGCGTATGACAGCAGATGCGGATAAGCATATGGAATGACTCAGGTTATTGCAGGCCATCTAAAATTGAGGGAGGGCTGTCGCGGAAGGCTGTTGGGGGTTGTCAGCGGTTAGCATGTAGCATTGTCGTACTGAAAGAAGTAAGTCAGCTCCACGGTCTACTCTATCAAGTTGGCTGTAACAACAAGTAGTATTCAGGGAGTGACCAAGAAGACAGTTATTGTGTAGTATTGTCTTCATTTTCATCTCAAAGTGTTTAAGATTTCGACTTTGAATGGTGTGTTTGAGCTTTGAAGACGACGGGAGCCAAGGATGCAAGACGGTTTGTATGCATGCTTTTCGGCAAATGAGATTTTTAAGTGGGGGGAAACCATCCAGCCATCACTCAAAGGTACGATTTTTCTCATGACACTCTCACGAACAAGCTTTTTGAGTTTTTGATTATCCACAAAAAGTTAAAAAGTGGTCATGATCAAATGCATGGCCATGTCGATGACCTCAATTTTATAGAAATTTTCTATGTAACTGACTAATAATACCGTACGACATACAGCTAACCACGGTTTCACGGACTACAAGTATGATTTTATGCCTATGAGAATCTTGAATCGCAACGACTGATGACAGCGACGAGAACTTCGACGCCATGTATATCCATCGGATTCCAATATGTTTCGTGGACTCCAACTCTCCGATACCGAGAACACTCATCCTTTTGCATATATACGGTACAGCACGAGGATACATGCAATACTCGGCGTACATATCACGCCACACGGCAGGTGTTCGTAGATCCGCTAACAGGCATGCAGCACACCAATTTTTCTTTCTCAAAATCGAATGGAGAGTTACTGTCACTTCCCGAAGAACTCCCGGTCCACGCAAACAATCTGTTAGATCTCGAATCATTGTTGTTACCAGGGAATCGATGTGTTGGCTGCACAATGCTATGTAGGATGCATCTATCCGTCCAGTCAAACCTTCGCCTGAGACTTTGTGTACACCGGATATCCCTGGCGCCTGGATATCAAAAATCGATTCCCCTTTTACATTAATCATGAACAGCGAATCTTGACCTCATAATTGTTCGCGCATTTTAAGGTTTTTTCGTATTGATCAATGTTTTTGCCACAGCAAGATTTGATAACATTGCATGAGGAACTCCTGAGATGAGATTATCAAAAGAAGGACTTCATACCTCCTATTTGACTCGGTCAGTCAGTCAAAGCTGATACTGACTCCGGACCTAGTGGCTGTTGCTGATTCTTCTATCCCGCGTGATAAACTGGTTCCTGGTGAATTAACAAAAACAAAAACTTTAATTCATTGATTCCGGCCTAACGGACGGGATCTACTGATTATGTCCCGGACAAGCGGACTAGTCATGGCCGCCGGAGCAAGCATCGGGTGTGTTACAGTGAATCGTCGTTTCAGCGAAGTTTTGGTTCCTGATCAGCAAGCACTCTGTGAACAAAGTATTTGTCAAAATGAATTAGAAATTCGAAAAAATACCTCCTTCCGGTACGGGGAATTGAACCCCGGTCTCCCGCGACCTAATTGAAGCGTGGAAGCTTTCATTGAGAGGCGGAAATGCTAGCCACTACACCATGCCGGATTACCTGTTATATTTGATGGAGGAGAGTCGATTATACTACCTAATGTTCTCCACGTTTGCCGATAGAAGAAAACTTGTAGAGACTTAAGCGATCATCACGTGAGTATCAGCTACTTGGCGGGAGGTGTGGGGTGAATTCAGTGTTTACGATGTGGTTCTTTAATAATGATGTTTTATTCTAATAGGGAAAAGAGAGGCACAAGTGAAATCGTACTGTAAAGGGGCAATACTACATTAGTTTTCTTGTACCTGGCATTTTCACAACCTGATTACTGAAATCGGAATCCATCTCTACGCATCTTTCTCTCTTGGCTTCTCATCCCTCCCAATGGAAATCCGAAAGTTCGAAAATCCGGTATCTTTTAAGGCTTAAATGCTTTGATCAATTGATATAAATCAGAAGATAATCTTTATCTTATTCGTTCAATGATTATCTTAACGATCTTCCAGAGGGTTTACTAGGCAAATATCGTCCGAGTTCATGCCTCTACTTGCTCCAGTATTTGGTTAATTGCTGTTATGTTGATGCTAGAATGAGCGAGTCCCTGAGCGCGCATACCCAAGATTAATTTCCTATAACACTGCATATCTCTCTGTATAGTTGAAGTTACCTCTAGTTTGACTACTCATGTTGGTCATTCAAAGGTGCAGTTTAATGATATCAATGTTTTGCTACAATGTTTTCCTAGAGTTCTAGATAATCAAGGGTATACATATCCTTTCATCAACTCGGATTAGAAACATCTCTATGTCTTTTGAGGGAAAGAGCTGCTATTAGCAGACACTTTCTCGTCTATTGGTTAGTCCTCAATTCGTGAACTCAAAGAAGAATGATTACGTCTTATATACCCATTTTCACATTCAAATCTATGAATGTCTAATGGTATCAAATCGCCACTCCATCCCCGTTATGTTTTTCCCATTTCCCCCTCTTTGAGCCAGTGCTGATGAATTCGAACAACAATCAAAATATAAGCTTCGGTCTCATTATATAGTTCATAAAACTCACAATTTAATAATACCTGTAACAAAGATACTGCTTCGTCCAGCCTAAACTCAGTACCCAAAAAGGATCTACCTTCAACAAACCCGACTCGCTCATGCCGTTCTTTTTCTTTCCCGGTCAACCGTGAATATAGCCTTGCGATACGACAAGCTGACCTGACATAGATGGTGAGAGCACAGAAACAGCCAGAAAGCCGTACAACGAGTCAGATCACAAGCAGAGTACAAACTGAATTTTTTCCCCAAGCTGTTGAGCCCACCAGATTCGAGGTCACATTAACGTATAACTCTCTCTCAAGAATGAGTATTTGACTACATCTTTAACAGAGATCCCCCACTTTCAAGAACACAATCAAGTCTAAGGATTGGCAAGCAGGATATCTAAAATATATTATCAGTAAACAAGAAAAAGAAAGCCGGGATGACTCAGGAAAGCACATCAAATGCTGTCTGTCTAGAGGGATCATGCATACTAATGAACAGAAGCGCTTGCCCATGTCAGACTTCTTACGAACTCCAGAGGAGTAGGCAGGACTTTCATATTTGCCTGCCAAGATGGGCACTCTTACTAAAATTTCGCTCTTTTAGAACGGTCTCAGCAGGATAAACCCGAGGGGACTTTCTCATAATGATAAGGAATCATAAAGTTGTCATACTTGAGAGAAAACCCGAATTTGAGATTATTTTGATGGAAAGAAGCTGACGACAGCAAGGTCAAGATAGAAAGTTAGGAAAGATTCAAGTTTAGCTAATGAGGAAATAATGACCAATACTAATAAACCATTACAAGCATTTAGAAGCAAGACTTAGTTTTCATGATTTTGATTCAGATTCACTGAAAACTATTTACATGAAATGGAGATTGTCCAATGCAGTAAATATTATCTCCTTATATCTAGCCTATATCACAGAAAATCCGTCCTCTAAAGTAGTTATCTAAAGATACCATCCTAATATGTGGATGTAAGATTACATGAAGACGACCTTTGGTAGACATCCCATACTTATGAGTTTGAAATATAACCTCTTCAAAGATCATAAAGTGACTCCCCATCAAGACTGTATATCCAAAACCTATGTTGCCCAATCGATCCACTCCTACGTATGCGTGAATATGAATTGATTATCCAATGCATATAGATGCATAAAACGCCATTGCCTCCGAGCCCAAACTATATGTAAATCATCGCTCTCATGTAATCATTCATTGTTCAAATCTCAATCAAAAGATCATAACCTGTGACGAACAACGCAATCAAAAAGGGTTTACCACCAATTCTCCACACCGCCCAAGGTATTTGCATCCGGTCCTTGTTGGCCTGTTTGATTTTGGAAATCCCTCGCTAAATCATCCCAGCCAACCCAACCAGGATCGCCATCAATAGCATTCATGTCGAGATCTAATAAGGCATTGTCATCCATCAACCAAGATATTTGAGTCTGGCCTTGTAATTGTTGTTGCTGTTGCTGCATTTGAAGTTGAAGTTGTATCTGCTCGGGCGCTAGCATACCCATTCCTACTACCTGTGGAGAAACTTCCATGCCGAAATCATTATTGGGGTTATGTTGTTGCTCCCTATAGATTGAAGTCTGTTCCGCTTCCATAATCGGTACATTGGTAGCATCGTCCATTGACGTTTGAGCTCTGCGCATGGCGACAGGACAATCGTGAGGGGCTCCTTCCCAATGGTCTTCATCGTTTTCTTCTTCCATCGAGTGCATATTCTCTTCTCGCTTTCTCCGAGCTCTCGCCATGAGTTTTCGCATGGGTTGCCAAAACATACCGCGTTTGCTGCTACCGACAGCAGAACTCCAATCATCAAATGCGCTGTCAATAGCTTGCCAAGCTCGCTCCACGAGTGGAGAATTCTTGCGAATAGAGAGTTCGCCAAGAATAAAAGCAATGGCGTGCCATTGTACCTGTAGTTATGGCGGTTAGTAGTGTCAAGTACCAAGAAGCCCAACATATACATACATAAGTGCGGAATAGCCAGCCCCATTTTTTGGTAGAAGCTTCCGTCTCCAAGATTCTTGAATACTCGATAATTTCGATAGATGACTTGAGAAGACGATCCTTGGTGTGTGGAGATAAACATTGAGGCCTACCAGGTTGGATCAATGGATGGTAAATTATCAACGACATCTTTGCAAATATGAGACGTGCCACTGTACCCGCTACCCACTACCGTTTCAAAGATTAGTAAATAAGCAATGCAATGAGAATATGCGGGTATACGCGAGGTATGCGAGGTATGTATCGCGTCTTCTTTGTAGATTTGAATAATCAAGATAAAGCACGAATGAAAGCTTTTGCTTACATAGAGAGGGCCTGCATTCTCACAGTATTTGAGATATTTTTCTTCCATTCGAGCCGCAGTCTCTTTGATCAATTCTTCCTTCTCTTCGAGTGTAAGTTTCGTTGGATTTCCTATGGGACAAGGACCACGACCTGGTGGAGTGTATTGAAGGCGTTTTGATAAAGCACATATCTCAAACCTTACAAGAACAAATGTCATATCCGAAACTCCTTCTCGGGGTTGTGGTGGTTCCTTTGCGTCTGGATCTAAATCTTCATCGTTTATCGAAAGTGGGAATTTGGTATCAAATGTATGATCAAATATCGAAGGGTCAGATCCATGGTCCTCAGACGCCCTCACGTCCAGGACACATATTTGCCACCAAAGCCGTCTCCTCATTTCCGTATTATAGGGGGATAACCCAAACTTCTCCCCGTCACGATGCAATCCTGAGCTTGTTAGATATTTAATTTGAGAATCACTTACACAAGAACTCACCAAGCGATTGGCCAATTCTCATAACGAGTCCAGTTAGGGACCATACAAATCGAGTATCGTCATGTCTACGAACGCAAGTCAAAAATATCACGAATGCTTGAACAGTCATAATTTCGTTTGTATTGAGGAAGCCTGCCCTGGCAAGAGCCTGCTCGGTACCAAATCGGTACTTTTTTAGTAAGGCATCTTTCTCGACTCCAAAGTTGGTAGCAACCTTAAAAACGTCAGTCATAGCTTCATAGGGCGAATTAGAAATACAAACCTCTTCATCTGACATAGAAGTGATAGTTGCGAAATATATAGAGAACATCAAGGCTTCTGTGCTCTTGCTTATAGTGTCTAGATTATGTTGAACCTCTTTAATAATTTTCCCTGTCGTAGGCACATGGAGAAGCTTAACCAGTGGCATCACATTCTCCAGAAACGTTGACCAGTAAAAAGGTATTTGAGAGGGTAAAGGATGTAAAGCCTTCATATTGACATCGGCAGAGCTATAACCCATCACAAAACTCTGATGATCTGGTTGGGTGGTGGAAGATAGAGCTGGAATCGGGGAATCTCCATCAGTGTCCTCCTCATCCTCATCAAACATGGCCCGGAGCTCTGCTATCTCTTGCGATAATTCTGCCCAGAACGGATTTGATACATATTGACTCTTTCCGGAATCCAATACCAGGCGTCCTATTCCTTCTTCCATAGTGAATGCAGTTTTCGGAGCTGCAAGTCCCATATTGAAAGATCTCGTAGCCCATTGTCGTTTTGTGCCCTTTTCTTCATCAATTCCATTCACCCTATTCGTTATAGTTCTCGCCGTTCCACCAGGAGACTCGCTGCTCGATTCAACATTGTTGTGCGGGGAGGAATGGCTGCTTGATGGGGAGGCCTTCGGATTTTCCGCCTCCACTTGTCCGCTGAGTTCTTCCACCACTCCTTCCAATCTTCTTAGTCTTTTTAGAAGTTCCGCTTCTCGATCACTAATAGGCTTTCCTCCGACCCTGGGGCGTCTGGGCGCTCTACCCGGTGCTGGAAATACGCATGGTGATTGCGCCTTGGTACAATTCGAGCAAGGCACCTTTTTGTCGCATTTGACCTTTCGTCTGCGACATGTAACACATGACCGCGCATTCAGTCCAGTGGGAACTGCAGTAGGAGCCGATGTTGATGGCCGCCGAACATCATCGGGGTTGCTAGGTGGGACAGTAGGGGGAATCGATAACGCTGAGGGGTACGTCGAATTTGGTGGGATAGCGATTGCCTGCTGGTTCTGATAGTCTCCGAACATGACGCTTTTGTAGACGATCACTAAAGCACTTTCATCTAGTAGATCCAAGCTACAGAATTTTGGAAAATGCTTGGTCCGAAGAGATTGAAAGTGTGGATAGAATTATATGGAAATATTACCAATCCAATATATGTTGATGTACGAAGACTGTGCGGCCGACCCTGAAGATGTCATTATTTAGGGGTGCTCGCTTTGACGCTGTCAGGCTTGACCGTTTATTTTGCAAGAATCATTAGTGAATGTTAATTAATTAAATCTAGTTATCTCTTTGACTCCAGTTCCTTCCCTTGGACCAATGTTAAGGGATATTGTGTAAGCTTAACAAGTGAATATCAGATTGATTTTTTTATTGCTATTGCTAACTCAAAGGATTAGGTACCTAGATATCATGCTTACTCTATACTATGTTTTCTGAAGTAGTTCGGAGATATGTAGTCTGATAGGACATTGATGAACAATGTCGAAGGTTTATCCACGGGTAACTTTGACTTTAATAGTTAGGGACAAGTGTCAGAACCCCTTAAACTTTACAATACTCGAGTACATGATTTCTAGTATGTATTTAATGATAATCTATCTGTCATTCTCTCCAGGAAAACCAGTCTAGAAGAGACAACAATTCATACTGAGAAGTCTCGAATTTCAATCGAAGATGACCAAGAGTTCACAGGCTGGCAAGCTGTGGTCGGACAGTACCTCAAAAATAATGTACATGTCATACATTCTTCTGCTTCTATTCACCGCAATTCATAAGTGCTTGGCTGTCATGAAAGGGGAGGGATATTGAGCGCCACTCCATACACCGTCTGCGGCTCATATCATTGCATGATGGGACCTTCTTTCGCCCGCTGTTGGAGTTCTATGGCTTGGAGAGATGGTTCACCTGAATATTCGGCTTCAAACAGTTAATATATTAAAATGAACCCCACTCACACAAGCAATTAGGACAGATGGCCGAGTGGTTATGGCGTGTGACTCAAGCTCAACAGCTTAGTTGATTCAATCAATTAGCATTCTCATGGGCTTAGCCCGCGGGGGTTCGAATCCCCCTCTGTTCATTGAATTTTTGCACTTTTGTTTGTTGAATGAAAGACGGTCAATTCCTGGGGTGCATGGGCGCGGGGCTGGTAAGTCGACTTTTTTTCCTTTTAAACATGCGCGAGAGTTTGAGCAAATGGAACGCGACTAAGGAAAGAGAAGAAGAAAATGACACAAGGGCGTTACTAGTTGCTCACTCTGAACTCGTGCTAGTGATGTTATTGAAGATAGCGGAATCTTGTCTATTTTGGCTGAAATCACAAGTACCGAGAGGGAAAAGGGGCATTTCAGCCGTACGCTTTTAATAGCACGTGTTGTCTGCATATAGTAAGATGTACTTTGATCCTAATTACTTTTGTTTTACTTGAAAAAGTATCTTCATTTTATGAAATACATACATGAAACCTCAATTCTTATGTCCTTTCCGAGAAAGCCGGTCAATAGACCTACTTGGCAAAGAGGAAAGAGGGAAGAGGAAAGTTTATTTTCTTAACCTCGTATTCTGTACCATCATACCTCATTCAAAGGAGTAACTTTTAATACCAATACTCAATTCTAGCCCTTCTAGAATTCAACAGTCCATACATTCCAACTCATTCACTTCCCCTCGATCTTCCATGCGATCTCTATAAATCTTCTCAATCTCCCCACATGGTCCATTTACGCGTGTTAATTGTGGACACAGCGTGGAGACAAGAATGGAAACCGAGCTTGCACAGCCCTATACATTATGCTCACCCCAGACAATGATATCCCTGCGAATGATGCCCTGATTTTCGAAATTCCAATCACATCGAAACACCAAAATCGATCAGCAATAAACAAGAAGATCAATGCCATGTCTAGATCCCCGTTTTCTCGCAATGTTGTCGCACCACTTGCTCATAGTTTCCATCCCATCTCATGCACATAGTCAAACGGCTCTAATATAAGAACAAAACAAGAAACCAAATAATATATCTAATACCAACTACTGCTCCTCGAAACTCGAAACAATTTCTGAATATTTCTTTTCCTACATTACCTAAAATCTCCAAAAGCACTCTCTCAAAGATCATAAAAATCATGAATTTCCCTCCAAAGCACAACCCGTATCTCGATCCTACAAATAAAAAACACCGCGATTATACCCGTCTAGACGTATCTCACTCTCCAGACAACGTCCCAGACACCCCTTTCAACTCACCCACCGCAATGTCTCTCTCAAACTCTGAATCCTCAAGTCCGAACTTCAATCCGTTTTCTCTAAACCAGCTCATCATGAATGGAAATGAAACATCCTCCTCGTCATCACTACACCAATCACGAAACTTCACACCCACATCCGCACCATCAGATTGGCGTCCTGAATCGCGGGATCGTGCTGGCTCAACGGGTTCGGAAAGGTCGGACATGATTAGCAACAGTAGACAATGCCACTGTGGAAGTGGAGGGATGCAAAAAAGACACGGTGGTGAGGAATCCGGTCCTGGGTTCGGAAGTTATAGCGAAAGTCGCTGTGAGCGGTGCATCTTAGGAGACGAGGATGTGGAGAGGGGAAGATGTAGGACGAGGACGAATTCGAGCAGCTCAAGGGATAAGACGAGTTGTTCCAGGGAAAAGAAAAGAAGAATGGATCTTTAATGTATGTGTGGTTTGAGGGATATCAAGAGGACAGTCAGTCTTGGAAAGGATCTACCAACCAATATTTTATTTGGGTTTCATATATGTTTCTGGCGTTTCTTGACATCCAATACACGTTTGGGTCTTCGCAATTGAACTCGACACCGAGTTCGAATCTTCCAAAATAAGGCCGAGGAGGAATCTTACCAATTAGGTCAAATTTTTACTTTACATTCGAAGACGTATTTACCTTCCTCTATCGTCCCTTGAACGTTGGTGAATCAGACCTCATCCTATATTTCAAACAGATTCAAATTGAGAACCAACTCTGCACAATCTCAAAATCTAGGCACTTGGACGTTATTTGTGACTGTGCCTTGAAAGTTATATCTGTTGGGTGTCTATGGCGCTTATGGCAATCATCAAATACACACTGATGGAGAATCCATCTCCACTTCGGTATTTGACACAAACTAGGGAGCAATTTTATTTAACGATTAAGTTTAGGTCTTCCTATGTACGCATCAACCTTAAGATTATACCATCACATTCCAAATTCGGAACCAATGATACTGACGTACATTATTTGTCTTTATCAATGATTTTTTTTACAAGACGTCCAAATCGCCTGCCAAAATACGTGTCAGGGTCGTGTGTGAATTGACTCCGTACCGCATTTCATGTGTGGAATACAAGGTTGGCGGTCTCGTCCCCACTGTCTGGATATCTACCAGCAAGATACCATCCAGTGTCATAGATTCAGTGTCATGTACATTGTTCCTCATAAGAACCATGTCATCTGCCTTGCACGACAAGTCTTCCATCACCGCTCGCAACATTTGATCGTCTTTGACCTTAAAAGCTTGTCCTACAATTTCGAAAATATCCCCGTGATTTCTTGCATCAAAAGATTCTGAGATGCCATATATATAAATCGGAATTTTTAGAGGAGCGTAGACTTGATTCCTTTCCTCTGTTTCTACCGGGAAACAGAAATAGCTTCTGTAAACCCTATCACTGTTCTTGCTTTTGCCCCTAGACATAAGTACCACTTTCTTTCCAGTAGAGTAGATGTGGTTTAATAGAGGTTGGATTCCAATACTATCCGCGATTCCGGATACTCTTTGGTTGCATATGAACATCAGGGTTTTGCGAATAATGCAAACTCGATGCAAGTCGCAGCCCAGGCATTGAAGAAGCTGGGCGAGTCGATTCTCGAGAAGATACTCAAAAGGTCTCTTCGCCATCGAAGGATCTTGGTATTGCATATTGAACAGCATCGAATGTGCCAGTTTGATGTCAGACTTAGAAAATGTGGGCCACAGTTGGCCGATGGCAATATGTACGTCATTGAGAGCTTCCGAAACGTGAATTGAGAGAATATGTTCCAGGTCTCTGTTCCAACGGAAACAAAAGTAGCTGCGTGAAAGAAGACGGTCTCGAAAAGCAGATACCAAATCTCTTGTTGAGGTTTTTCGACTTCAGACAAGGCCGACTTCTCAATTTTTCGCATTGAGCCCGAGGAGGAATCCGTGGACATTCATGGATGACTTTGTACTGAGGACTGAGATTGAGTCTTGAAGGAAATCATGACATCAAGACCAATGAAATCTTGCAATCGGGGCAATGGCTGCGATTGGGACATCGATTGGAGTTGAGACGACTGGATTGGAGGCAATAAATATGGATGTGGCTTTGACGACGGTTGTGGCGTTAGGTATTAAGACGGGACTTGTTGTTGGACAAATGTTTGCGGCTGATGCAGCTGTCAACGTTCAAGAGAATTGTGCCGACCAAAACTTTCATATCGTTCATCAAGAGGTTGCTGTTGTTGAGAGGATTCTAGCGATTGAGACTGTGATGGTTGTTGTTATGGGGCATTTGAGTGACTATCTTGAGAAGGTGGATTATTTGGCGGTATATAGCGTGGTGGAAAGCCTATGTAATCGCTTTGAGTATTGCCATGTTCGTCGTAAGAGTTACCATCATGACCGTGCATGATCGCGAGTTGCTAATACTACAAAGTGATAAGCAAAAAAGTAATGAAATGTAAATGGATTAACGAGCAGTGAGGATGTCTCGAAGAACAAGAAGTATTCATACCGACTGGACTTGCTGTGCAGAATTGGCGGGAACTTGTTTAGAGCAATTCCTCTGAATTCGAGATTGGAGGGCATACTTGGACACCTACTTTATAGTTGCCCTTTCTATTTCGGGTTTGAGGTTGAGAGTTTTATATAACCACACTTTCCATATCCTAGATCAATTCCTGAAAATTCTCGATAGCAGACATGGGTATTGAAAAAAGCAAGCCAAAGGTTCTTATGATTAGAACGCAAGCTGCATGAAAAATCACATGAAAATGAAAGCCAACTTACAGCTCCTCATTTTGAAAAAAAACAAAAAAAAACAAAAAAAAAAACACGGAGATGATAAAGTCTAAGCAGTGTAATGAACAACTGGTAGATTGAAGTCGAACCGAGTGGTTCACCTATACCCTTCCGTTTATCAACTAATCGAGATTGATGTTAAACAATACAATATTAGTTGAAACAAGCCAGTGAAAGTAGGAATTTCCTCCTGAAACCTTGATTGAAGTCTAAATGTTGAAAAAGTAGCTTCTGCTCTAAGATAATCCTCTCGGGCCGGGGTATAATTCTCAAAGCTTCAATTTTTCGGCAAACCATTTCTCGGCAACAGCAACCGCATCCTCAATTTTATCAGGGTTGGTACCTTGACCAGTACGGGTTGGCTCCTTGCCACCTGATCGACCTCCTACAACCTCCGAGACTGCTGCGGCCCATTGCTCCGCACTCACACCCTTAGAAGAAGCATCCTATGCAGTGTTAGTGACTTTTTTGAGGTAAAAAGGGCGTTTTGAACTTACTGTACCAACATATACTCCGTGCACAACAGCACCCTCACTAGCACTTCCTCCAAAGAGATAAACTGTCTTATCCTTTGCCTTAGACTTAAAATGGTTCATGACATCAGCAATAGCCTTGGAATTTGCAGAGATTGGCAATTGTGCGATATACGCGGTGCTGTCTTTGTTCTTTGAATCAGCAAAATAAGCAATAACAGTATCCAAAGCAGTCTTGGATTCGGCCTTTTGCTTTTTCTTTTGTTCATCAAGGACATCCTTCTGAACCTTGGCGAATTTCTTCTTTAGGTCCTCCTTAGCAAGTACCGAAATAGTGAGGTGGTTCAAATCATTTTGTGTTGCCTTGACCTCTTGTTCCTTCTCGACGCCGTGAGGCATAGCATCCAAAGCTGCGATACGTTGGCCGAATTCCGAGGCAATTCTTTGTACCTCATGCGCGGCATCACCAGTATAAGCGATGATTCTTCGGATTCCTTTAGCAATACCGCTTTCCTCGACAATAACGAGGTCCTTGATAATGCCGGTTTGGTCGACGTGAGTTCCACCGCAGAATTCAACACTGACCTTTCGCCATTCTGGATTCTTGGGCTCGGCGAGCAGAACGTCAACTTCGACACCAACAGACACCACTCGAACGGGGTTTGGGTATGTTTCGCCGAAGACAGCACGTACACCTTCAATGCCCTTTGCGATATCAAGATCAACGTCTTTCGAGTAGATCTTGCAATTTTGCTTGATATAAGAGTTTGCAGAATCTTCAATATTCTTGAGTTCAGGTAGTGTGACTTGAGCTTTATGCGAGAAATCAAATCGTAGTTTCTCTTGGTCAACAAGTGATCCCTTCTGGTTTATATCTTCACCCAAGTGCTCCCTCAATGCATGATTAAGGATATGGGTACCGGTATGGTTATTGCGGATAGGTTGTCTCCTTAATTCGTCGTATTCGCAAATAACTTCATCACCGGCCTTGAAGTCTCCATAGTCCATGTAACCATTGTGCACAATGTATCCACCATATGCTTGAGTATCAAGGACTTTGAATTCCGCAACACCATCAATTATGATTTTTCCGGTATCGAAAACTTGCCCACCTTGTTCAGCGTAGAAGTTTGTCTTATCTAATAGGATACCAAATGGTTTATCATTAGGCAAATCCGCAGTGCTCTTAAGGAAGCTCTTGCCATCGTAGATGAGTTGGATCTTGCCAGTTGAATCGCCCTTCGAAAATTTAGCATCATCATTGGGTCGAGGAATACCCATGTTGTCCAGCTCGGCAATTTGATGAACATCCAATTTGGCGAAAGTGTGGGCAGCTTCCTTGACGGATTTACTGGCCTCCCTTGCCTTCTCTTTTGCAATCTCGATTTCTCCTTCATCTGTCTCAAGGCCACGCTCTTCCGCCATGATCTTGGTCAAATCTTCTGGGAAACCAAAGGTGTCATATAATCTCCATACATCTGCACCAGAAAGCTTCTTGGTATTCGTCTTGATGGCTTGAGCGGCATATTTCTCGAACATCTTCTCACCGCGATCTAATGTTCTAGCGAAAGCCTCTTCCTCTTCATCTAAGATTTCCTTCACATCTTGTTGCTTTTTCACAATTTCAGGGAATTGCTCGCCCATTTGTTCAACAAGAGCTGGCAGGATCTTGGAGAAAAAGCTACCAATTTCGGCATTGAAGTATTTTCGAGCATAACGAGATCCTCTTCTCAAGACCCGGCGTACAACATAACCACGTCCCTCGTTGTTGGGAACGCCTCCATCTGAAATAGCGAAAGTAAGTAAACGAATATGGTCAGCAACAACACGATAAGCAGTATCGATCCCATCAGTATCATCCTTTCCGTATTTATCGGTATAAGGTCTGGCGTTTGTGACCTCTTGAATCTTGGCAAATAATGGCGAGAACACATCTGTGTCGTAATTCGATGATTTATCTTGCAATACCGAAACTAAACGTTCGTAACCCATACCAGTATCAATATGCTTAGCTGGTAGAGTCTTCAAAGATCTATCCTTCTGGCGATCGAATTGGATAAATACGATGTTCCAGATCTCCAATACGTTAGGGTCATCTTGATTAACAAGGTGAGCAGCATTGCGTCCTCCCCCTATTCTGTCGTAATGGATTTCACTACAAGGTCCACATGGTCCTGTCTCTCCCATTTCCCAGAAATTATCTTTCATGTTTCCTGTCAAGATATGATCCTCCTTGACTCCAGCCTTCAACCATAAGTTCTTGGCCTCTGTGTCCGCTGGTACATTATTCTCCGAATCTCCTTCAAAATATGTAACGTATAAGCGATCTGGATCTAACCCATAGACCTTTGTAAGTAACTCCCATGCCATTCCAATAGCATCTGTCTTGAAGTAGTCGCCAAACGACCAATTTCCCAACATCTCGAAGAAGGTCTATGACTCACATGTTAAAGCTGCTCAAATGTAGCATGTCAAAGTGTCAACTTACATGATGATAACTGTCTTTTCCGACATCATCGAGATCCTATAAACCATCAGATCATATACTTTCCAGCCCGAAATCAGATAGCCCTACGTTATGTTTTCCTCCAGCACGAATACACTACAACTCCGTTAGCACAACCCTACAATAACAGCAGCAACACAATCATCTACCTTCTGTGTATCCACCGCTCTCTTTAATTGTGCCATATCATCGGTCTTGCCCACCGTACCGAGGAAAATCGGCTTGAACTGGTTCATACCAGCATTCGTAAAGAGGAGAGTGGGATCATTGTGAGGGACCACAGAAGATGATGGTACTGCATTTTGTTAGAATAATCGCTTGAATAGACGTTTCAAACAATCGCAGACAGGCGCCATGGCCGCAGAAGAAGTATAGTCCCATTCAGAGGAAGACAGTGGTTGAAGTTCCCCAGAGATCCCAAAAAGAATTACACCGCCACTTACCAACAGAATGAGCATTCTTCTCAAAAAAGCTTAAGAATTGTTTCCTGACCACCGGGGCCGTCCATTTAGTGGTATCTTGAGAGCTCGCCATAATTTTCGACGTCCCAGAATATTTTCGATACAAGGTTGTGTTGTAAGAACTTATTGAGGTGGTGCGCGAGTTGAACAAAGAAAGTCGTGTCGTCTCTGGTTCGTAGAATATTCTCGAGCAGTGACTCAGTGGACCTGGAACTCTTGCGACGTTCAGATTCAATCTTCCACGCAACGCATTCATTCGCTCAATTCTATAAGAATACAAATTTCCCTAGGAAAGGAAGATTTTCAACTGACAATTATTCTTCTGTTCATACAGATTGAGATTTATTTTATCGTGCACACATTAAGTAACAGAAAAGAAGCTTTGTGATCAGGGGAGGGATGGGTTGTTGAGATGGATCAAGCGACAGGTATTAGGAAGAGGAAGGCAGAAACACAAGACAATGAACGACTTTCCAAACGGATGAGCTTGCTTAATCTTGGTAAATATCCTACAATAATTTAATACTATCTCTATTCAAATACACGAGGTTCACAGGCTAACAATATTCTAGAGCGCAATGGCCAGAAACTCTACGTTCCAGTCGAGCAACCCACCTTAAGCTCAGATCTACCGACCACCAGCTCTACATTTACTGCCAGCGATCATAAACCCATAAAACCTAAAAGGACACAACAGCAAGATGCAGGTGATGTAATGCAACTAGACGATTCCAAACACAAAGTCTACATCTACGATCTTGACGATGAGCTATCAGACAGTGACGCCTCCGATGATGGACGGCTAATATTTCTCCCCGACATATCCAAACATCTGCGAGAAACACGGATTCCACCTCACATCCTGGCAAACAAAGACGGACAGTTGGCCGGTATGAGCAATCAGCTCATCTTATACGATACAGCTGTTCCAAGGAATCACAATGTTCCCGAGGAACAAGATTTGGTGCGGAAGGCATTTCTGGAGGCGAGGGAGAAGGCTAGAGCTAAGTGGGACGAGAAGGCGAGGCTGGAGGAGAGAGGGGCAGATGGAACGGTGGGTGAAGTTGTACAAGATCGTACCTATACAAATAGTATGATTGGAGGGGATACTGACGTAGAAGATATGAGTGTGGAAGCTATAGAAGATGATCCTGATGCTATGGACCTTGGA